TAGATCGAATCCTTACCTAACCATCAATCTGACAATGAATGTCCATTTCAGCGTCAACAATGACAGCAGTCCCTGGCGCAGGCGCCCCTTCTGCCATGACTGCTGTAGCGGCTCCTCCTGGTGCAGGTACCTGTTTCTCGGATTTGTTCCGATTATTGCTGGGATCAACAAGTAATGATGTACTGTTTAGCCTCGACCATGACAGCCATGAGACCGGCTTCAACAATGACCGCCTTGGGAGGTGTACCTGCAGGAGGTAGTCACTATTACTTCGCACAGTAGTTCTAGATCAAGTTCTTATCTCAGTCTGACAACGAATGTCCATTTCAGCTTCAACAATGACCGCTGTCCCCGGTGCCGGCGCTCCTTCTGCCATGACTGCTGTTGCGGCCCCTCCTGGTGCAGGTACGTTTTGTAACCAGGAACAGGTTGAGACTGAAGGGTCACAGCGTACGCAGGGACCAATAATCCTCGAGAATCCGCTATTTAGCGTCAACTATGACGGCAATGAAGCCTGCATCAACAATGACCGCCCTGGGAGGAGCACCTGCGGGAGGTAATTGCGAACATATTCAGCGAATAAGATTCACTGTCCTTAAGATATAATAGTTACTCTGTCCCGCCTTAAAGTATAGCATCGATTCGAACTTAATAAGAGCCTTTCCAGGACCTTCTGCTATGACCGCTGTGGGAGCTGCTGGTGGAGGTACTTTTATTTTTCTGTACTTTTCAAGGCAATATGGTTTTTAGACGCCGAATATTCGGTTTAAATAACAATGTCTTCGTTCAGCATCTGCAATGGCTCCAGCCGGTGGAGCTCAGCCACCAGGTGCCTCTGTCTACATGGGAGCTGCAGGTTCAGCTGCTCCAGCAGCTCAATCAGCCTACTTTTCTGCCCCCGGTGGTGGGGGTGGTGGTGGTGTCAAATCGGTGGCAATTGGAGGTGCAGGTGGACCGCAGAATCTACCTGCTGGACAATCTGGATACTTTGGCGTTCAATCAAAAGTCGGAGGTGTTCAATCAACATATATGAAATGATCGCACTAAGTATACCTTACCTGGATTACCTTTGTGTATTTGAAGAGGTGTACAACAACTTACATAAAGTAATAACGCGGACTATGCTCGGCTTGAATAAATGTAATAAGATATTCACAAATATGATACAAAGAGCATAAACTCGGACTTGAGTGGAACGAAAGAAACAGTATCAGTAGAAGTTATGCCCTAGTTCGCTGCAGATGAAGAGGTGTGTCAGGCAGTATGAGTGTGTCACGCTGTCAAAGCCGTTCTCTGCCTTCTTGTTGAAGCGCGCATGCGACAAAAAGTGGTAGAAAACGAGTAATACGAACGATATGATATCATTTGCTCGCTTAACAACTGGTGGAGAACGGGTTTCGGCACCGTGCCAAACTCATCCCGGCTGACACGCCCAACCGTCCGCAGCGAAGTACACTATAGTTTGCTGCAGATGAAGGGGCATGTCAGGCAGTATGGGTGTGTCACGATCCGTTCGCTCTCTGCTGAAGCGGGTATGCGACAGTAGTTCGTAGAAGACGAGCGATACGAACGAGATTATACAGTTTGTCACTGCGCTACAACAACAGGTTGAGTACGGGTTTGGCACAGCGCCAAACTCATCCCGCTTGAAACACCCCTTTGCAGCGTAGAAGACTAAACACCGGATTTTTTCGCAATGGTATCTAGTTGCGGTGATGAGGGAAATGGATGGACGAGTGGTAGGAGCGCGATCATACTTCGCGATCGCGCAATTCGTTGGCGCGATCGGATCGCTCGACTGGATCACGCAATCAGATTGAGCGACCCAGTCGAACGATCGCGACGTGGGGCGCTCTACCGCCAAAGGACAACCGATTGCACGATTTAGTCGAGCGATCCAGAGCACATCGCTCTTGGGGATTCCCCAACAGAGGGAGGGGGGGCGTATTCCCCTTTTCACCTTCTTAAAGACAGCTCCCGCGATAAAAGTCTCATGGATAGCTGCTTTCCCAATTATGAAACAGCAGCTGATAAGTAATCTCCCAAAGAAGAAAACAGGCAAGAAGCGTTCTCCAGAACAACATAAACAAAATATCGCCCCCTCACAGTTACACCTCCCTGCGCGTCTCTGTGCAGCCCCTAGCTCACAAATCTCTCTATCACATCTCGCAGTAGTTGATATCATCTAGTGCAAAAGAAAGAATACAAAAAGAAAACAACAAAAACGCAGAGGAAAAACTCTGGGAAGGAAAAAGGAATTTTATCAACACGGTGTCTGAATTTGTGATTACGGTAGCGCACCTTTTGTGCGTCGTGGTTTTGCATCACGAAAATTGCGTCACTCGTGTTTTTTACGCGTTTCACCTCGCGAAATGGATTGAATTGAATGTATATACCTCCAATGAGTAAACTGTAATGAAGGAGAGCAGAATTATCCAGGGGCATTAGCAATGCCCGCCGCCCCAACTAAGAACAAGTGAGTGGCCTCCGTCGGAGGACATCTAGCAAGTAAAGGCGGTCCGACTGAGGAGGAGTTAGAACTAGCACTTTGAGCGGCTATAGCAGCCTCCACGCTCACAATAGAGTCGCGAAAGGTGAACAGTCTTCTAGCTTGGAGGCTAGACTACTTGCACAGCAAAGGCGACCACGAGCCACTTTGATCGCGGGGGCTGTCTTTAAGTTTTCCGTGATGTAGATTTTTCCTGTTTCATGGGTACTATCAGCCCAGCTGCAAAATTTTCGGTAAGGAAAGTCTCCGGAAAATCTCGGAAGAAGTGGGCTAGGAAGTTGAAAAATCCGGGAAATGGTGGACATGTGTTTACTGTCTGTTACAATGTGCGCTAATTAAGACCCTCCATCGCCCCCCTCGTCTCAACCCCTTGATGAGGAGGGAAACCAGAGGAGGGGGAGGAGTGTACAACCGCCTCAAAAAGCGAAGGGGGGTGAACTAGACTGTCGAAGTCGCGAACTAAAGACACGCCCTGAAGCGAATCCAGTCACACGATCGCGAAGTATGAACGCGCTCTCAGAGGTGGATGAGTCATCCCAACATTGTTACTTCTCCTCAGACCTTTGCATTCCAGTTTTTCTGACATGATGAGTGACTCAACCTTTTCGAAGCCTCCTTGGTCGGCACAGTTATTTTTCTGAAGTTAGCCGCACACCAGTGCGGCTAGGTTACCTCTCACTCGCTCTCTGTCTCTCTAGGTTTCTCAACAATCACAGGTTACCATAATTGGAACAATTGCAGACTGTCATCATCCCCATTCACAAGTTCATTGCACTCTTCTTTGGAAGTATCAACTCCCGTCTACCTTGGAAATTCTCTCGAAGAAACCTTTTGTTTTTTCTGATTTTGAATGTTCAAGCATATATGTAGTAGGAATTACTCCTAGCACTAGCAGAAAGTTTGAAAAAAACAATCAAATCAAACATAATTTTTTAGGCAACGTTCTCAGCTTCGTGTAGAATGTGTGATCAGTTGGTCGCCTTCTTAACGTCCTTCTTAAGCGTTCACCGACGAATTTTCAGTGATATATCCTCTGTTGCGGCACCGCAACCTGTGGCAATATCTCTCGCATTGGCCAACCACCGCACTGTGGAGCTTCTTCATTGCCGGCCATCCGGCACCGTGAGCGTATCCCTGCATTGGGCCGCCACCACCTGTAGCAGCTTCTGCATTGCGCCGCAGCACCTGTATGAGCTCCTGCATTACCGCGCCACTCAGCAACCTGTATGTTAGCCTCCTGCAGTTACCGCCACCGGCACGCGTGTAGGGCAGCTTCTGCATGTGCCGCCACCAGCATCCTGTAAATGACTCCCGAGCATTACCGCCACGGCAGCCCTGTAGAGTCCCTGCACTTGCCGCCACTGCACCTGTAGGCAGCTCTGCATTGCCGCCACCAGCACCTGTATGAGCTCCTGCATTACCGCCACCAGCACCTGTATGAGCTCCTGCATTACCGCCACCGGCACCTGTAGGAGCTTCTCCATTGCCGCCACTGGGAGCTGTAGCATATCCTGCATTGCCGCCACCGGCACCTGTAGGAGCTTCTCCATTGCCGCCACCGGCACCGGAACCTGTACGAGGAGGACAAGGACAGTAAGCAGCATCTGCTCCAGGAGGACCATACGACCCTCGACCACCTGCAACTCCAGGGGGACCGTTGGCACCACGATTTCCAGGAAGTCCGGGGGCTCCTGGAGGTCCAATGGATCCAGGTCCTGAAATTGTAGTTTCAATCATGTGTACGTGGAAACTTTGATAGAGCTCAATAGTAAAAGATAGTATAGTTTATACCTGAATTTGTTCCAGGAGGACCTGCTACACCAGGCGGTCCTGGTGGTCCAGGTGGTCCAGGAGGTCCTGGTAGTCCCGGCATATGCATGGTGCCAGGAACACCCGGTTGACCATCTGCGCCGGGCGCCCCTGGCGATCCGTCCTCTCCAGCATCTCCAGGTGGTCCTGGTGGCCCAGCGATACCAACTCCACCAGAGAATCCGTCTCTGCCTGGAGGTCCCACAGGTCCCGCGGGTCCCTGAGGTCCGTCTGGTCCAGCTGGTCCTGGCGGTCCGTGTGGACATTTTACGCATTCCTTCAATATCGGGAACATTTCTGCCATGCGGGCCATCCCAGGAATACCAGGTAGTCCATCTGGGCCAGGTTCACCATCGGCTGAAACTATTCATCTTAACAAAGAAACTGAACAATCAACAACGATTACTAGTACTGAAGGAAAAACTTACGTCCTGGCTCTCCAGGCTCTCCCGGTGGTCCAGGAGGACCGCGTTCACAGTTTGGAGGTGGAGGTCCGCATTGGCATTGTTCTCCTGAAGAAAAATGCCCATATTTTCTTCGTCGTCATATAAATATGTGAAAAAACACTAGCTGATGCCACGCTTTACCTGCCGCGTTGACTTGACGTTTTCCTCTGCGGAGGAGAACCTCGACCGTTGATGGTAAATAGGGGCGCGACACTGGAACCATCTCTTGCCATGCATCATCAGCTTTCACCTGGAGTACGATTCTTTGGAAGAGACATACAAAGAATATCACGGTGCTAATCCTACTATTCGGTAGCGAACTTGACTTGTGCTATGTTCATGTAGGCACAATCCACGATAACTTTTTTCTTGCGAACAGATTGCTAACAATAAGCTGGGATGAAAGGCGAGCCAACCATAAAACGCTTAGGAACTACCTCATCAGGGTTCTCATTTTCACAAGTCTAGCATCTCTTCAGTTCTCCTTCCATTTGTATATGTACCGATAGAGGCTCAAAT